ACCCATTATGCAGTCTTCCCTTCAGCACTGTTCTACAACCTTTCAGAATTTTCAGACATCATTCCTGTGACTTGTACCAGCAGCCCTGTCCTTCTAGTGTACCTAGAGAAATAAGATTCGTACGAAGGGTTGGAACATACCTCACTTGTGATAATGTGACTTCAGAACCATCATGTGTCTGAAGTTTAATATTTCCAACTCCCATGATTCTACAGACTGTATTATTTCCCATCTTTACACCTCCATCCAATTTTTCTTCAAAATTTGAGAACCTTTCTCTTCTAGGACATAAGTGGAATGAGCATCCTGAATCCAAAATCCACTCGTTCCTTTCATCTCTTACTGTCAGGTTTAATGCTTCGGGTTGCTCAATGATCAGAACTTTAGAATCAGAATTATTCTCCCTTGCTAAGTCAGCTTCATGCTTCTCGTATCCATTCTGATTTAGTTCTTTCTTCCTTGCATAACAATCCTTTCTAAAGTGTCCTCTTTTTCCACAATGCCAGCATTCTGTATCTCTATTTCTAGATTTTGATCTAGACCTCGACTTCTTGGATGGTTTTCCCTTGAACTGCGTCCTTCCTCTTGCATTCAGGCCTTCTGCACAACCTTTTCCAAGCTTTCCCTGAGCTTTCAGTTCTAACTCTTTTGATCTGGCAGCTGCCTTTACTTCCTCAGCCGTAATTGAAGCTCTTGAGTATTTTAGTACTTCTCGCAGCTGCTCATACGGTGGAGGTAGTGAATTTAGGAGATAGACAGCTTGATATTCCTCTCCTATGCTTACTTGCAGACTCTGTAGATCAGACAAAATCTTTTGAAATTCATCTAAGTTTTCTTCAATCGGTTTCTTCTCGTCCATCTTGAATCCCGATATCCTTTGCATCAAGTACATGCGATTTGGCAAAGATTGCTCCAGGAACATCCGTTCCAACAACCCCCAGATGTCAAACGCCGTCTTTTCTTGGATTACTTTCCGAAGAATTTGATCAGATAGGCATAGAACAATTAGGTTTCTTGTTTTTCTGCTTCTATCTGCTCGCTCTTGGATGGATCTTTCAATCCTGTGATCTGTACCTGAAGCAGTCGTAATTCTGGTGATTCCAGTGACCCCAACTGAGCCAATTCCTGTAACAATTGAAGAATCTCCTTCACCTTCTGGAGTGAAAGAACTTGGTAGCGGAGTTTTCAGTTCTTCGCTAGCCTTCAAATCTTGTTTCACGACCCACGTGGATGGATCATCATCCAACGTGTCTAGTAATCCCATGATCTCTAACCCAATCTTGATTTTCTCTTTCCATAGAACGAAATCGTTCTTCCCATCGAATTTTTCCACATCCAACCTCTGTAGTGAAGTCGTCATTACCGATTCTTCCTCCTTGGTTCTTGCCTAGAGTCTTACCACCGATGAAGAACGCCCCAATCGAACCAGGGGCTCTGATACCACTTGTACTACCCAAAGGATTCTTCCTTCGTCGATTCCTCCTGAATCGTGAGTTGAATTCGAGAGATCTTTGAGCTTTATCGATGCAGCGAAAATGGCAGAACGAAAAACACAGGAAAAATAAGAGAGAGAACACAAGCGATTTACGAGTTCAGATTGAACGTTGTGTTCAATCCTACGTCTCGGGGAGAGAGGGATTTTTCACTATGAACGAATGAGGTTACAGATACAAGATCTTGAATTGAAGATAACAATCTCTGAGTACTCAAACCAGAAAATGAGCTTATGCCTTTTATACGAAGAAGAAGACCAAAGCCTCTGATTGTATCCGAGTCTTCTCCTGAACGGAAACCTTCTGAACCAGAAAGAGTCTTTACTCTGTTTTGAGTTTTATCAGGCACATTCACTTCAGGATTAAACAAGGGCTGCGAACAAAAATCTGCCAACCAGCTTCGATCGTATTCATGTCCCCTTCATATATATCATTGCCCATAGTCAACATCTGGGCCACAGTCATGTCCTCGTAGTCTTCGACATATGGTTCCCACACATTGATCTTGACTTCGCTCCCGTGATATTTTCCATACTTCCCTCGGATTATGGCATACTATGATGCAACATGCGAAAAAGGGACGATGAAAATAACATATAATGAGGATTGTGAAATTTGTAATTTAAATGCCTAATGTAGGCCATCTATTGGGGGGGGGGGGGTTGCACTTTTTCAAATAATTATTTTTAAAATTTCATAATTATTAAGCTTTAAATAAACTAAAACATCTGTTATAAATTGAAAAAAATAAAAAGATATATTGTAATAATTATATATTTTCAAATTATTGAAATAAAATAAAAATGTAATTTGATAACAATTATAAGTAATTATTAATTTCTAATTTTAATCACTACATATATATTTTAAAATAAACAAATTAGTGTAGAAGAATAACTTTTTTTAAATCAAAATTTTTATCAAAAGAAAGCTTATTTAAAATTTTATTACTCTTTAAAAATAATAGTTGATGTATTTTTTCATAACGTTTATTTTTATTTACAATATAATTTATTTTTATATTTTTTATTTTAATTGTTATATAATTTTATATTTTATCTATTAGTAGTAAAATTCTGAAAAATATTATTTTTTTTAAATTATTCTATTATTTTATAATTGGTTTAAACTAAATTATAAAAATGATTTATGATAATATTATTATCTAGATTAAAAACTGTAAAAATGAGTAAATATTACTGTCTATTATTATTTTAAAATTATATATATTATTGAGCATGACATTTCAAAGTTATGAGATAGCTCTATGCCTATGTATGAATATATACCTCATGCAAAAAATCGTGGGATCGATGTTTACGGATGCTATAATTTGGTTCTTTTCCCTCGTAACTTTCGATGAAACCCCATCATAAGAGATCTTCTCTAAGTTTTTTCCCTTATCAACAACGTGATTACAAGAAATAACATCAAACAGGTCGTGAGATCAACCATAAAGACATGAGACGCCATTATAAAAGTCAATATCAATAGCTTTTAGATTGTTGGTATGGCTCTCGTTTACACATGTTTGGGATTTATCGGCATAGAATTGGTCAATTTTAAGAAAAATAGAATAAAAATCCTAAGCTTTTAAAAATTGATAAACTAATACCTAAACTAAATTTTTGATTAAAAATATCTTCAAATATTACATTTTATAAACAATAAACTTTTAAATTTTAACAAATTAATCCTTCCTCCACACATTCTTGGAAGATTATAGATTATTGATATAGTGGTTTTGTGCTTCCAAAAGTATGTTTGCGATCTTTAACCTCTCTACCGTGCTTTCTTGTGGATAGGGCGGATATAAACCTCATAGGAGCAAGAGATATTATATATAGGCCTAAGGAGAAAGGAGGCTTACGGTTAAGAAGCGTGGATCATTGGAACACTATTTGTGCCCTTAAACTCATCTGAATTTTTTTGCGGAATTTTCTCGGTCTCGTTCTCGAGATCCATGTACCCGTGGCCCGAATATCCATGGATACTCGAATGGGAAGAAAGGAGAGATTCAGCGACCAAGACGTTTGATGATCTAGAGATAGAAACAAAAGACCTCAAAGTGAAGGCATGCATATTTACTACTGCCCTACCAATGCCCCCAAGTCAATTCGAGAGAAGTCATATTCATGTGGATCAATAGTCAAAGTTCGTAACATCTTTTCACTCACCTAGAAGAATTGATTTATAATTTCAAAGAATTTTAAATCAGTTATTAAAATTGGAATAATATTGTTGAGATCTTCACAGAGAGAAGTTCGAGAGACAAGTCTATTTGGAACTGAGATTGTAATGATCCGCGACCGCTATGAAATGTCGAAAATACCTTCACACACTAACACGAAACCTTGTATCGTGTTTTGTCCTCACTGGCATACATAATAAGACATTTTCCATTAGGTCATCCATCTTTATATTGTTCTAGAGTCAGTACGCTTAATTTTGGAATTCTCTTGATATATTCAACCACAAAGATAGATTCACTTTGTTGCTATTAGTAGCCCAACTAATTCTTTTTATGTTATATTAGATTATATAGTCCCATACTAATTTAATCATTAGATCTCTCTCATTGCAATGCGTTCGATTCATTCTTATATCCCTATGGCATTTATGGTACTCGGGGAGTCGCTCAATGTTCGTGCCATCTGCACCGGCGAACACTCACAATCCTCATTATAGCTTGAGATATCACATGTCCACCAACTTACGCCTGATTCATCCTCGAACCACACTATAGTACTATAGGTGAGTACCGACTCTGATATCATCTGTAACGACCCACAACTGTTATGAAATGTCGAAACTGTCCTCACAACACCGACACGAGACCTTCCAACATATTTTGTCCTCACTGTATGCATATCGAGAAATTTTTCAATAAGTCACCCATCCTTAAATTGTTTCAGAGTCATCACAGTTAACTTTGGAGTTCTTTCGTGATAGTCAACCAAAAAGATAAGTGTACTTTGTTGCTGTGAGTAGACCAACTAATTTTTTTTATGTTATCTTAGACCATATAGTCTCATACCTATATAGCCCTCGAATCTCTCTCATTCTCATGCGTTCGATTCATTCCTATATCCTTTCAGTATTAGTGGTATTCGAGGAGCCTTTCTTTATTTGTATCATGCACTGGCAAACACCCCTAACCTTCATATCATAACTTGGGATATCACAGAGAATATTGGTCCATAAGTGCATAATTCATCTCGGTGTTGCTGATGAGTTAAGAAAAACTCTAGGCTTGTTATTTATGATCCTTCTCATTCATTTTTTATAGTCATGTTCATTTAAGAATAGTTTTTGTATGGAATACAAGTGTTCAACAATGGATGAATATATGGTTGATGAAAATAAAAGTTTAGGTGATGTATTTGAATTTTATGATGAGCAATTGGAATATCATTTGAAACTGGCATTAAGACTTGCACATGGTATATCACTTGAATTTTATGATGAGCAATTGGTCACGTTAGGATGCTATTGTCTTAATTTATTCGTATAAAAGGATCACAATGGAATTACACACATTAATGCAGAAGACCAAAAGGTAACAACTTCGATCCATTTTTTCCTAGTATGTAGATTTTATTGGTTTGATCTTAGCTCCTTCGTATCACCACTCTTTTTCCGATAGTTTTGAGGGGACCCCCCCATCGTAAGATATCTTCTCTTGTTGTTCTTCTTATTGGAACGGTATTTTCTGGGCATTCTCCATTCTGGCGCCATACCTGAGTTGCGAGTATCTCCGATTGTTTATCACTGGTTGAAGGGAGATCTTTGGTTGAAGAGATGGGGAGAAAACTCGGTCTCATCTATTTGGCATCGTTCACGTCGAAACCAGACAATAGAATAATTAAAAAGAAATAGCAAAATCGATGCTGTAAAAGAAGAATATTAGCCAAAAACAAAATACTTAAAAGGAGACTGGCAAAAACAGGGGCATACCCGAATAGTGTGGTTCTTTAGTAATGGATTGTCGAAAGCGGGTTGATCGTATATATGAACACAATCTATTATGTCTCCATCCGGACTCTGTTAGATATACAAATGTGAAAAATGAAACAACAACAACTAAATAACATAACCAAAAACAAAAATGGTAGTCACTTCTTGTCTCCAATTTAAAAATGTATAAATAAAAAACAATCGCAAAATCATATAGTTTATATATGGATATGTACTATGATTGTTTTAACAGCGGGTTTGTTGACTTGCTTCAAGTATCTTTCTATCTCATCCTCATCCAGTGTGGAGATTACTGTGGTTATCATCAACGTTGTGATCACCAGAAGCAGTAGCAAATTGGCAGCCCGATTAAACATGAAGACATGAGAAGCCACCATCAGGGTCAAAAGCTTTTGAGTTTGGTGCTATGGCTCGGTGTCTTAATGTTTTGGATTTATAGACATACAATCGCTGGTTCATTTTCCTAATAAGTTAGATTGAAATGTGGAAATAGAAAGGAATATTAGAAAAATGTAATCCAAAATCAAGATAAACAATAATATATTTTCCATATAAAGATTCCAATAAGCATTTCTAGTGAAATCAATCAATTCCATATATATATATTTCTGGGAATGATGATTTGTTACTTGAAATAGATCAATTATAGCTTGGCAAAAGGGTGTACATTCTGTACGTTACATCCATTTTTAAGAATACCGCGTACGAGATTTCCTCTGTATATTGCGTTTAAACAAATACCGCGTACAAAATTTTACCAAAGGTAGAATCGGTTTGTTAGAGGGTATTCTATTGCAATGCACAAGGCCCATATTTTATGGGCCCATAATTACAAACAAAATATTTAATTTTAATTATTTATACAAATGGTTATAATAATTTTAAAGGGTCATGAAATTTTTATAATTTAATATATTATCATCTTGGCCTTTGTTATCGGAATTTTCTATATGAATACGAAAACAAATCTGGGAAAAAAAGGCAAGAGCAATCTTTTGATGATTAAGAAAAATCATTTTACCTTTCTGAAAATAAAATGTAAAGACCATATTGCCCCTCCCTTTTAAACATCTGTGTACACGTGTCTTAATTAAAAAAATTAAAAAAAAAAAACTTTTCTCTCTCCCACTCTTCGAAACGAAACTTGTCTCTCTCCCGCTCTTAAAAACCTTATCTCTCTTCATTTTTGAAACTACTCTCTCTTTGGCGATTTCAAAATTTGTCTTGCGACTTTTTGTCTTCGATTTTACAGTCTTTCTCACAACTACTCTATCTTTTGCGATTTCTCCAACCAATGACTTCACAATCACCTATGTGTTGTTCATCTTCGTCTTCCGCTTCATATGCGTTGGAGAACGAAGTGCAAGAATAAACAATAGGTTTTTCCCTAACACACAGATATTTGCCTTCATCTTCTTCTTCGTGTTCATCTTCATCTTCGATTGGAGAACATTGTTGGTATAATTTATTGTTTGGGGATTAAAAAAAAATTAGAGATTTGGAATTTCGAAATAGATTGCCAAGTATCACGATTTCGAAAGCAAGAGTTTTTGTTAAATAATCGATTGGGAGTTTTATGGGTTAGAACGAGTAAAATGGGCCAGATTGTATCATATTGGTCATTTTTAGTCATTTGGGTGCACTGATTCACATGGGTAAGACATGGGCATTCGTAAGAATAAATTTTATTGGTCGATCATATGGGTCATATATGTTCATACGGTCACAAGATAATATAGGTCAGAAGAGTCAAAGGATTGCATGGGTCATAGGGTCACAGGGTCACACGTATGAGTCAAAGAATCACACGAATCACAGGGTCACACGAATCACATGGCCACACGGGTCACATAGTCACATGGGTCACAGGGTCACACGAGTCATAGGGTTACAGGGTCACATGAGTCACAGGGTCACACGAGTCACAAAGTCACACGGGTCATAGGGTCACACGAGTCACAAGGTCACATGAGTCACAGGGTCATAGGTCATAAAGATCATAATACTCGAGTCACAAGGATCATACCCTTAACCGCATAGTGAGGGTGAAGGACGAAAAGGAACTATATGGTTCGTTCTTAATGGTGTGTGCGTGAGGAACTCGATCATTGAACACACCCTTATATTCAAAAGGATGAGCGAGCTACAATCTGACTGTCAAACGAGACTGCGGAAGAATATGCACCCTTATATCAATTTGTCATATTTTAGTGTTTAGGAAGACGTTATGTATTATTTGTCATATAATTTTATTTTTTGATTTATAGTTGGTTACTTTATGTCCCAACTGGTTATTTATGAAGTAATTATATATAAAATGGTTATTTCTGAATGTAATATATGGACTAGTTATGTATAAATCAATACATTATTATTATTATTATTTTGTAGAGAAAATAAAAAAATTGATTAATTTTATTTGAATTTTGGTGGGAATATGAAAATCTAAGTTGAATTGATGGAGGGAAGAAAAAAAATGATATTGACAAGTAGGTCCCATGTGAGAAAATTTTTTGAAGTGGTTCCCACATACTCTTGACTTACCTAAATTTTTTTCATTTGTGGCCCCCATATGTTCCGTCAAACAACTTTGGATTACATGGATCACATGAGTTACAATGTTCGAATTTATCGAATTAATGACTTTGAATGGATATACAATTGTTAATCATCGATTTTAACATCAATAACAACTTTAAAATCATCGTTGGTTTAATTTTCGTATACCAATCGCTCATGGAAAATATACTTCATAAGTGATACTAGTGTTTTATGAACACTTTATAACAAATTGGACTAATGTTCATACAAACTATAATTAATTTCAGGAAATTCAATTATACACATCATATTGTTGTTATACAACATCATATAAACTATATTGAAGCTTTAAAAATGCGATTTAACCTTCTTTTTGGATTGTCACCGAGTCACCGGTCATATGGATCACACAGTGCAAAAGTGTCACTGGGTCACATGGGTCATATGAGAATCACATGATTAACTCATATAGACATGTAATTTGTTTGTAATCTGAATTTTATTACATAATGTAGACTTATTAAATAAAATGTAGTAATACAAAGATGTTATTTTACAAATTGTATAACACAATCTATTAATACAAACAAGTTATTTTACAAATCATATAGCGCAATATAGTAATACAAACAAGTTATTTTATAATCATATTCGAAAATGATAATGTAATCATACGAACATGTTATTTTACAAACATATCCGAAACTACAATGTATTTGAAAATTATTTGATACAATGTCTTTATTTGTCATTCTTTGATCGTTTTATCTGAGCTTCATATGGACCATTAAACCAGTTTTGTTTAGGCTTACCGTTTCTCTGTTTTCTCATACTATTGGAGGTCAAACCACGATATTTGATACAATGACCCTTGTGACTCTTGTGATCGTGTGACCATGTGACTTATAACTTATGTGATCTTACTAACCAATATCATAACTGTTATGCATGTGACCCACTATCGGAGGTCAAACCACGATATTTGATACAATGATACTTTGTAACCTATGTGATATGCGTGGCTCATGTGACCGTTTGACCATGTGACCTATGACTTATGTGACCTTAATGACCAATGCCATGATTGTTATGCAAGTGACCCACTGTGATCCGTATGATCTAATGATTTTGTATGACCTCATGTGACTCATATGCCCAAATATGTTATTTTACAATCATGACCAATGCCATGATTGTTATGCAAGTGACCCACTGTGATCCGTATGATCTAATGATTTTGTAGTAATACAAAGATGTTATTTTACAAATTGTATAACACAATCTATTAATACAAACAAGTTATTTTACAAATCATATAGCGCAATATAGTAATACAAACAAGTTATTTTATAATCATATTCAAAAATGATAATGTAATCATACGAACATGTTATTTTACAAACATATCCGAAACTACAATGTATTTGAAAATTATTTGATACAATGTCTTTATTTGTCATTCTTTGATCGTTTTATCTGAGCTTCATATGGACCATTAAACCAGTTTTGTTTAGGCTTACCGTTTCTCTGTTTTCTCATACTATTGGAGGTCAAACCACGATATTTGATACAATGACCCTTGTGACTCTTGTGATCGTGTGACCATGTGACTTATAACTTATGTGATCTTACTAACCAATATCATAACTGTTATGCATGTGACCCACTATCGGAGGTCAAACCACGATATTTGATACAATGATACTTTGTAACCTATGTGATATGTGTGACTCATGTGACCGTGTGACCATGTGACCTATGACTTATGTGACCTTAATGACCAATGTCATGATTGTTATGCAAGTGACCCACTGTGATCCGTATGATCTAATGATTTTGTATGACCTCATGTGACTCATATGCCCAAATATCTCATGTGAATCGTACAATACTCTATATAACATATCTCAAAAAGAATCTCCAAACAATCCTTAACTCATATTTGATGTCGATTAATACTATATAATACAGTACCATTTCACACATTATCCAAATAACATTAATTCCTCGAAAAACCATATTAAGCACCTAAAAAAGCAGAATAAATCTATAAGAATCACCAATGTGTATAACAAAATACTAATATTTAGGTAACCTATGTATTTATACGATTTTATGTGATTTTGTACTGATGTTGACGTTTTTAAGCGATTTTGTCCATTATCGAAGAGAAAAGAAGTAAATTGGAGGAGAGATAAAGCAAATTAGAGGAGAGAGAAAGTGAATCGAAAAAGAGAGAAATAAAACCGAAGGAGAGAGAAGATACATTTGCGAAAAGAGAGAAAATAATAAAAATTAATTAATTAAAAAATAAAGGGTAAAATGGGAAATGTATGTTTGGAAGGGTATAATTGAAGTGAACATTTTTTTTTCATAGAAGAAGGGTATCCTATGAAATACAAACATCAATTTAAGGGTAATTTTGATAAAGTGTTGATTAATCGTGCTCAACAAAATAACAACATTTATGAGGATTGTGAAATTACTAATTATATTTGATCTATTAATAGTACATTTTGAAAAATATTTTTCTAAAATATTTTTCTTACAATTTGGTTTAAACTAAATTGTAAAAATGATTTTTTGGACATTTTTCAAAAACATCCTAAGAGATCCTCTCTTGGTTTTATTCTTATTGGAATGGTATTTTCTGAACATCTTCCGTTCTTATACCATAGTTGAGTTATGTAATGCAATTGTTTATCGATGTTCAAGGAATGGTTTTTTGGGGGAAAGCTCGGGTACATCTATTTGACATCGTTCACATGAAAAAAAAAAGTATAAGAAAACCATGTGAAACAAATATCAAATCAATTATA